TTTCCCTATGGCAAAGGGTGGAATTTGGCTTCTCTGCTGTCTGATATCGGGGTTCAGCTGAATCACACCCCCCTCCAGAGCCACCCCCAGAGTCGTGCCTCAGTTTCCCCAGTGACAAAGGGTGGGAAGTGGCTTCTCTGCTGTCTAATATGGGGTTGAGCCGCATCACACCCCCCTCCAGAGCCGTCCCTGGAGTCGTGCCTCAGTTTCCCCAATGGGAAAGAGTGAGAAGTGGCTTCTCTGCTGTCTGATATGGGGTTGAGCCACATCACACCCCCCAAAGAGCCGTCCCTGGAGTCGTGCCTCAGTTTCCCCACTGGGAAAGAGTGAGAAGTGGCTTCTCCGCTGTCTGATATGGGGTTGAGCCAGATCACACCCCCCTCCAGAGCCATCCCCGGAGTCGTGCCTCAGTTTCCCCACTGGGAAAGGATGGGGGGGGGCAAGAAGTGGCCTTGGGGGGACACAGCGGTGGTTTCTCCACTGTCTCGTATTGGGGTTGGGCCACATCACCCCCTCCTTCTCTCCCAAGGAGCCACCCCCAGGGTCGTGCCTCAGTTTCCCCACTGGGAAAGGATGGGGGGGGGCAAGAAGTGGCCTTGGGGGGACACAGCGGTGGTTTCTCCACTGTCTCGTATTGGGGTTGGGCCACATCACCCCCTCCTTCTCCCCCAAGGAGCCCCCCCCAGGGTCGTGCCTCAGTTTCCCCACTGGGAAAGGATGGGGGGGGGCAAGAAGTGGCCTTGGGGGGACACAGCGGTGGTTTCTCCACTGTCTCGTATTGGGGTTGGGCCACATCACCCCCTCCTTCTCCCCCAAGGAGCCCCCCCCAGGGTCGTGCCTCAGTTTCCCCACTGGGAAAGGATGGGGGGGGGCAAGAAGTGGCCTTGGGGGGACACAGCGGTGGTTTCTCCACTGTCTCGTATTGGGGTTGGGCCACATCACCCCCTCCTTCTCCCCCAAGGAGCCCCCCCCAGGGTCGTGCCTCAGTTTCCCCACTGGGAAAGGATGGGGGGGGGCAAGAAGTGGCCTTGGGGGGACACAGCGGTGGTTTCTCCACTGTCTCGTATTGGGGTTGGGCCACATCACCCCCTCCTTCTCCCCCAAGGAGCCCCCCCCAGGGTCGTGCCTCAGTTTCCCCACTGGGAAAGGATGGGGGGGGGCAAGAAGTGGCCTTGGGGGGACACAGCGGTGGTTTCTCCACTGTCTCGTATTGGGGTTGGGCCACATCACCCCCTCCTTCTCCCCCAAGGAGCCCCCCCCAGGGTCGTGCCTCAGTTTCCCCACTGGGAAAGGATGGGGGGGGGCAAGAAGTGGCCTTGGGGGGACACAGCGGTGGTTTCTCCACTGTCTCGTATTGGGGTTGGGCCACATCACCCCCTCCTTCTCCCCCAAGGAGCCCCCCCCAGGGTCGTGCCTCAGTTTCCCCACTGGGAAAGGATGGGGGGGGGCAAGAAGTGGCCTTGGGGGGACACAGCGGTGGTTTCTCCACTGTCTCGTATTGGGGTTGGGCCACATCACCCCCTCCTTCTCCCCCAAGGAGCCCCCCCCAGGGTCGTGCCTCAGTTTCCCCACTGGGAAAGGATGGGGGGGGGCAAGAAGTGGCCTTGGGGGGACACAGCGGTGGTTTCTCCACTGTCTCGTATTGGGGTTGGGCCACATCACCCCCTCCTTCTCCCCCAAGGAGCCCCCCCCAGGGTCGTGCCTCAGTTTCCCCACTGGGAAAGGATGGGGGGGGGCAAGAAGTGGCCTTGGGGGGACACAGCGGTGGTTTCTCCACTGTCTCGTATTGGGGTTGGGCCACATCACCCCCTCCTTCTCCCCCAAGGAGCCCCCCCCAGGGTCGTGCCTCAGTTTCCCCACTGGGAAAGGATGGGGGGGGGCAAGAAGTGGCCTTGGGGGGACACAGCGGTGGTTTCTCCACTGTCTCGTATTGGGGTTGGGCCACATCACCCCCTCCTTCTCCCCCAAGGAGCCCCCCCCAGGGTCGTGCCTCAGTTTCCCCACTGGGAAAGGATGGGGGGGGGCAAGAAGTGGCCTTGGGGGGACACAGCGGTGGTTTCTCCACTGTCTCGTATTGGGGTTGGGCCACATCACCCCCTCCTTCTCCCCCAAGGAGCCCCCCCCAGGGTCGTGCCTCAGTTTCCCCACTGGGAAAGGATGGGGGGGGGCAAGAAGTGGCCTTGGGGGGACACAGCGGTGGTTTCTCCACTGTCTCGTATTGGGGTTGGGCCACATCACCCCCTCCTTCTCCCCCAAGGAGCCCCCCCCAGGGTCGTGCCTCAGTTTCCCCACTGGGAAAGGATGGGGGGGGGCAAGAAGTGGCCTTGGGGGGACACAGCGGTGGTTTCTCCACTGTCTCGTATTGGGGTTGGGCCACATCACCCCCTCCTTCTCCCCCAAGGAGCCCCCCCCAGGGTCGTGCCTCAGTTTCCCCACTGGGAAAGGATGGGGGGGGGCAAGAAGTGGCCTTGGGGGGACACAGCGGTGGTTTCTCCACTGTCTCGTATTGGGGTTGGGCCACATCACCCCCTCCTTCTCTCCTAAGGAGCCACCCCCAGGGTCGTGCCTCAGTTTCCCCACTGAGAAAGAGTGAGAAGTGGCTTCTCCGCTGTCTGATATTGGGGTTGAGCCGCATCACACCCCCCTCCAGAGCCATCCCCGGAGTCGTGCCTCAGTTTCCCCACTGGGAAAGGGGCAGGAGGTGGCCACAGGGAGGGTGCAGCTGTATCTTCTCCGCTGTCTCATACTGGGGTTCAGCTGGATTGCACCTCAGAACCCGAAAGAGCCATCCCCAGAGTCGTGCCTCAGTTTCCCAATGACAAAGGGTGGGATGTGGCTTCTCCGCTGTCTGATATTGGGGTTGAGCCAGATCACACCCCCCTTCAGAGCCTTCCCCGGAGTCCTGCCTCAGTTTCCCTACAGAGTCAGGGCACGGGATGCCCGCTGTGCCAAGCCCATCCCCGGGCCACAGTCCACTTGGCTTGGTCCCTCGCCGGTGACGCACGGCCCTGGCACCAAATCCGGGGGGATGAACCCTGAGGAGGAGGAGGAGGAGGAGGAGGAGGAGGAAGCTGGCACACGGCGGGGATGAAGGCTGGGCAGCGCAGGAGCCACCCCGCTGCCAGCCATGTGGGCACTGGGGGTGCTGGGGCTGGCGCTGAGCTTCCGGGGGGCAGGTAGGAGATTTTTGGGGACACACGGTCGGAGGGTGGTGATGAGGGGGGACACGGGGGGTGACAACGATGTCCCCCCCCCCTCGTAGGTGCCTTCGTGATGCACGTGGCCAGCTCCTGCCCGCTGGCGGCCACCACCGGCTCGGGGCTGGGTTTCGAGTTCACCATCGTCTTCAACAAGAACCCCCTGGTTTGTTACGACCCCGACGCCAAAAAATTCGACCCCTGCGACCGGGGGCTCCTCCGCGACGTCGCCATCATCGTCGCCTTCGGCCTCAACAACGACACCGCCTGGGTGGAGCGCGCCGAGGGCCGGCGCCGAGCGTGTCACCAACTGGGCACCCACCTCTGGGCCACCACCGGGCTGCGGCGGAGTGAGCCCTGCGGCCTCGTGCACGGGGGCTTGGCACGCGAGGACATTGCACAGGGCGTTGGGTGGGGAATGCACGAGGACGTTGCACGAGGACATTGCACAGGGCGTTGGGTGGGGAATGCACGAGGACGTTGCACGAGGACATTGCACAGGGCGTTGGGTGGGGAATGCACGAGGACGTTGCACGAGGACATTGCACAGGGCGTTGGGTGGGGAATGCACGAGGACGTTGCACGAGGACATTGCACAGGGCGTTGGGTGGGGAATGCACGAGGACGTTGCACGAGGACATTGCACAGGGCGTTGGGTGGGGAATGCACGAGGACGTTGCACGAGGACATTGCACAGGGCGTTGGGTGGGGAATGCACGAGGACGTTGCACGAGGACATTGCACAGGGCGTTGGGTGGGGAATACACGAGGATGTTGCACAGGGCGTTGGAGGGGGAATGCACGGGGTTGTTGCACGAGGACGTTGCACAGGGGATACACAGGGACATTGCATGAGGATGTTGCACGGGGCATCGGGTGTGGAATGAAGGCATGGGGTGTCGGCCGGGGTGTCGGTCGGGGAATGCACGGGGACGTTGCACGAGGACGTTGCACGGGGTGTTGGGTGTGGAACGCACGGGAGCGTTGCACCAGGACCTCGCACGGGGAATCGGGTGTGGAATGCACGGGGTTGTTGCACGAGGATGCTGCACAAGGACACTGCATGTGGTGCTGGGTGGGGAATACACGGGGATGTTGCACAAGAACGTTGCACAGGGGGTACACAGGGACGTTGCACGAGGACATTGCACAGGGCGTTGGGTGGAGGATGCACGGGGATGTCACACGAGGACGTTGCACAGGGCGTTGGGTGGGGAATGCGTGGGGTTGTTGCACGAGGACCTTGCACAGGGAATCGGGTGTGGAATGCACGGGGTTGTTGCATGGGGATGTTGCACGAGGATGCAGCATGGGGTGTTGGGTGAATGCACGGGGATGTTGCACGAGATATTGGGTGGGGAATGCACAGGGATGTTGCACAAGGATGTTGCACAGGGTGTTGGGTGGAGAATGCACGGGGTTGTTGCACAAGGACGTTGCACCGGGGATACACAGGGACGTTGCATGAGGATGTTGCACGGGGACATTGCACGGGGCGTTGGGTGGAGGATGTGTGGGGTTGTTGCACGAGGGTGTGGCACGGAGTGTTTGGAGGGGGAATGCACGGGGTTGTTGCACGAGGACGTTGCACAGGGGATACACAGGGACATTGCATGAGGATGTTGCACGGGGCATCGGGTGTGGAATGCACGGGAGCGTTGCACCAGGACCTCGCACGGGGAATCGGGTGTGGAATGCACGGGGTTGTTGCATGAGGGTGTTGCACGAGGATGCGACACAGGGCGTTGGGTGAAGGCACGGGGATGTTGCACAAGGACGTTGCACAGGGGATACATAGGGACGTTGCATGAGGGTGTTGCACGGGGCATCAGGTGGGGAATGCACGAGGACGTTGCACGAGGACATTGCACAGGGCGTTGGGTGGGGAATGCACGGGGATGTTGCACGAGGACATTGCACAGGGCGTTGGGTGGGGAATGCACAGGGATGTTGCACGAGGGTGTGGCATGGAGTGTTTGGAGGGGGAATGCACGGGGATGTCACACGAGGACATTGCACAGGGTGTTGGGTGGGGAATGTACGGGGATGTTGCACGAGGACATTGCACAAGGAGTTGGGTGGAGGATGCACGGGGATGTTGCACGAGGACGTTGCACAGGGCGTTGGGTGGGGAATGTACGGGGATGTTGCACGAGGACATTGCACAAGGAGTTGGGTGGAGAATGCACGGGGATGTTGCACGAGGGTGTGGCATGGAGTGTTTGGAGGGGAATGCACGGGGATGTCACACGAGGACGTTGCACAGGGCGTTGGGTGGGGAATGCGTGGGATTGTTGCGTGGGGGTGTTGCACGAGGATGTGCTGTGGGGTGTTGGGTGAAGGCACGGGGATGTTGCACGGGATGTTGGGTGGGGAATGCACAGGGATGTTGCACGAGGACATTGCACAGGGCGTTGGGTGGGGAATGCGTGGGATTGTTGCGTGGGGGTGTTGCACGAGGATGTGCTGTGGGGTGTTGGGTGAAGGCACGGGGATGTTGCACGGGATGTTGGGTGGGGAATGCACAGGGATGTTGCACGAGGACATTGCACAGGGCGTTGGGTGGGGAATGCGTGGGATTGTTGCGTGGGGGTGTTGCACGAGGATGTGCTGTGGGGTGTTGGGTGAAGGCACGGGGATGTTGCACGGGATGTTGGGTGGGGAATGCACAGGGATGTTGCACGAGGACATTGCACAGGGCGTTGGGTGGGGAATGCGTGGGATTGTTGCGTGGGGGTGTTGCACGAGGATGTGCTGTGGGGTGTTGGGTGAAGGCACGGGGATGTTGCACGAGGATGTTGTACGGGGAGTTGGGTGGGAAATGCACGGGGATGTTGCACGGGGACATTGCACGAGGACGTTGCACGGGGATTTGGGTGGGAAATGCATGGGGTTCATGCACGGGGATGTTGCACGGGGACATTGCACGAGGATGTTGCACGGGGAGTTGGGTGAGAAATGCACGGGGATGTTGCACGGGGACATTGCACGAGGACGTTGCACGGGGAGTTGGGTGAGAAATGCACGGGGATGTTGCACGGGGACATTGCACGAGGATGTTGCACGGGGAGTTGGGTGGGAAATGCACGGGGATGTTGCACGGGGACATTGCACGAGGATGTTGCACGGGGAGTTGGGTGAGAAATGCACGGGGATGTTGCACGGGGACATTGCACGAGGACGTTGCACGGGGAGTTGGGTGAGAAATGCACGGGGATGTTGCACGGGGACATTGCACGAGGATGTTGCACGGGGAGTTGGGTGGGAAATGCACGGGGATGTTGCACGGGGACATTGCATGAGGACATTGCACGGGGAGTTGGGTGAGAAATGATGGGGTTCTTGCACGGGGCCATTAAAGGGGGACATTGGAGGAGACGTTGCACGGGGGACATTGCATGGGGAGGTTGCACGGGTGGCGTTGCACGGGGACCTCGCACAGGGGGCCGTTGCACGAGGACATCACGAGGTGTGAGGAGGGGACCCTCCCCAGCACCCACTGTCCCCTCCCCAGCCCCCCCCCAGGTCCGTGTTGTCCCCGAGCCCCTCGGTGACACCGACGTCGTGCTCCTCACCTGCCACGTCTGGGGCTTCTACCCCCCCCCGGTCACCGTCCTCTGGTGGCACCGGGGACACGTGGTGGCCACGGGGGACAAGGCCAAGCTCCTGCCCAGCGGCAACTGGACCTTCCAGACCCAGGTGACCCTGAAGGTCACCCCCAAAGTTGGGGACACCTTCACCTGCTCCGTGCAACACGCCAGCCTGGACCGGCCCCTCCAGGAGCACTGGAGTGAGTTTTGGGGGGAGGGTGTGTGACACGGGGAGGTGACACGTGGAGGTGACACACACGGGGAGGACACCGGGGTCCCCCCATGGCTCAGCGTGACCCCTCTGTCCCCACAGGTCCCGACCTGACGGTGAAGGTGGCGTTGGCGGCGGTGACAATGACACTGGGGCTGGGGATCTTCGTCACCGGCACCTTCATCTACTGCCACCAGGCCCCGGGTGAGGGACACGGCGGGGGGGGACACACACGTGTGTGACACGGGGTTGGGGGGACACACACGTGTGTGACACGGGGTTGGGGGGGACACACACGTGTGTGACACAGGGTTGGGGACACACACACACGCTGGGGGACACGGCACCCACTGGAATTAGGGGTGTCCCTAATTGGTCTTGTTATGTCTGCCAGGTCCTGGTCCCAGTCCTAAAACTGGTCCTCGTCCCAGTCCTGCTGCTGGTCCCAGTACTGGTCCTGGTCCTGGTCCCAGTCCAGGTTCTGGTCGTGGTCCTGGTGCTGGTCCCAGTCTTGGTCCTGGATCTGGTCGTGGTCCCAGTCCTGGTCCCAGTCTTGGTCCTGGTCCCATTCTTGGTCCTGGTTGTGGTCCTGGTCCAGGTGCTGGTCCCAGTCTTGGTCCTGGATCTGGTCCTGGTCCTGGTGCTGGTCCCAGTCCAAGTTCTGGTTGTGGTCGTGGTCCTGGTGCTGGTCCCAGTCCTAGTTCTGGTCCTGGTCTCAGTCCTGCTCCCAGTACTGGTCCCAGTCCTGGTGCTGGTCCAGGCCCTCATCTCCATCCTGCTCCTGGTCCCAGTCTTGGTCCTGGATCTGGTCCTGGTTCCAGTCCTGGTCCCATTCTTGGTCCTGGTCCCAGTCCTGGTCCCATTCTTGGTCCTGGTCCCAGTCCTGGTTCTGGTCCCATTCTTGGTCCTGGTCCCAGTCCTGGTTCTGGTCCTGGTCCCAGTCCAGGTCCTGGTGTTGGTCCCAGTCCTGGTTCTGGTCCCAGTCTTGGTCCTGGATCTGGTCCTGGTCTCAGTCCTCCTCCCAGTACTGGTCCCAGTCCTGGTGCTGGTCCCCGTACTGGTCCCCATCCTGCTCCTGGTCCCAGTCCTGGTGCTGGTCCCAGTCCTGGTGCTGGTCCCAGTCCTGGTGCTGGTCCCCGTACTGGTCCCCATCCTGGTCCCTCCGTGGCCACCTCAGGCCGCGCAGTGACCAGACTCTGAGGTCCCACCCTGACGGGGGGGGGGCTGTCCCTCACCCTGTCCCCCCCCCAAATAAAACCATTCATGGTCCCCATCCCCAGGTGGCTTCATCCCCACCCTTGCGGGCAGGGGGAGGTGCTCCCAGTGCTCCCAGTTTGGAGGCAAAGGGGTTACTGGGAGGGGGGAGGGGTTAGCGCTACACACGGAAGCAGCGGTGTTGTGGGGGGGGGACACAGGGGACCCTTGGGTTCCCAGCCCAGTTTGGGGGTGG